GAATTTGTTGAAAAAGGAACCTTGACTTAAAAGTCAGAAAACTGCAGAGTAAAGTCTGCTCCAAAAAAAACAAAAATACAATTCACACTAATGAGTACCATTTTTTCCTCCACATGATTCCTAAAGCTAAAGATTGTTCATTTGTGTTGAACCTTTATTCCTCGGAGACAAAGATCCCACAGAGAAGAGACAGATGAAAAGGGGAATAGCAAACACGTGCAGGCCCTGTCAGCAGTCTGATAGGGATGGATAATCCCCTCTTACTAACACACCAGCTTTACCATTTGCACTGCACTCACACACAGACCTCTGCTATTCAGGGGGACAGAGGACACCCAATACAAAGGAAGCTGACCCGTAGAAGTGTGCGTCTGTGGGGTTCGGTGTATTAGGTAGACACACTGGGGGAGGGGTGATGGTAAAACAACACCACTGCCACCTTGGACTATCAGCCAGTGGGACCAAAATGATCAGCTCACTCCTGAGCTAGGCTCCTGTTTCTGTCCTGATTTGGCCGCAAGTCACTCTATCATCAAATGTGTCACCAGCCTTATACATGTTATGCATGTGTATGGGTCACTTGCCTGGTGTCTGGTAAACAAACCCCTACTCTTAAAAAAAAAACAAAAAAAAACAAAAAAAAACAAAACAGCCACCTCTAACTATGTACCTTATTCCCTATACCCCGCTTCACTCCTAGAAACTTTTATCACTGACATTACGCAGCACAAACAAAGACTTCATACCTAGTTGTCTGTATATAACTACATTTTACCACTCAAACAAACCACCATGTCTGTAGCCATTATTTTGAGCAGGTATTGTGTTAGCCTTGTCCTCAGTTTGTCCTCAGTTCCCCCCTTTTTAAATTTAAAAACAGCCTTGCCTTAGCACAACCTAAATATGGTAATATTAGTCCTATAGTCTTAACTTACAAATCAGCCCTCGAGCAAAGCCCAAAAATGATGGAAAAAAGCTGGCTCAGAAAAGGAGAGGGATTAGGGTTTCGGAGGTTAGTTGAGTGCAAATTAATTCTTGTCATTCTTGATTCTGGGCCACCATAAGCGCTACTCTTGAAAGAAATCCTTACAGGACTAATGGAAACCTTAAGGAAATTGTTAGAGATTAAGCAAAAGAGAAAATATTGAAAATAGGGTAAAGGGCAGGGAAGAAAATGCTTCTTGCCTTTACCACTGTTGCCATGTGTAGTCTTTCAACTTAGACACATCGTTCAAGTAACATGCATTCAAGACACCCAACCATCCTGGCTTATATTCCCTGATAGGTTTAGGATGGTGGCAAGTAGATTTTTGATTTTAGTCCTTGTAAAAGGGCCTGATTTCTTACTGTGGTTGGTAGTTTATTTATAAACTGGCCTCATTTGGTCAATGATTAGTTGAGATCCTTGTGACCTCGGGAACTTACTATTAAAAAAAAGATGACAGCATAGACAAACACAGCCACACTATCTATAAAGAAAACCAGGACCATGGTCTGGTAGAAACAGCACTCTGGTTTAAATTGTCTAAAAATATTTTTAGTAAAAGCCCAGCTGCAGTCATCTGCTGCAGACCACAGCTAAGCAGCTTTCCAACACCACAAAGGTCAGTGTGGTTCCCATGAAAAGTGCTTATATGAAGGGGAAAAAAGCCTGCATCACAAACCCTGACATGTGGGAGGAGTGCAGTAATTTTGGGGAGGGAGGGATGATTTAGCCAAGAGATTGTGTGAGGAAACATTCATTGTTGAGGGCTTTTACCTTCCTGTTCCTATTTCAGTATCCTTACACAGGGAACAATGTATACAAGGGTCTAAGTGTCATGGGAAAACCTGACAGTGAGACAGTGTGAAGAAAGAAGCAGTTCTAATAAACAAGCATGTGATTGTCTCAGACTGATGCAAGTTGTGGCAGCATCCTGAGCGTGTGAGAGATATGAATGGGGAAAAGACAGTTAAATAGATCCCTTAACATGAGTAATTTCAGACCATGGATTACTAAAATCTCAAACACGTGTGAACATCTATATGAGCAAAAGTAATCATCTGTCATCACATATGGCCTGACTAGACTTTGCTCATCCCTTAATAAAAAGGTGATAGATAGACACAGAGGCCACCACCTGGCCACAATTAGAGGTTGTCCACATTGTTCTCATGGGTAAAAGCAACCTACCCTCAAAATATTTTCTGTAAATATAATTTTGAGTTCTGGTTACAGATGTTCTTATATTGCATGGCTAAATTAGCATGAGCCTAATCTTTTGTAAATACATATGCAGACACAACACATTTACGCTTGTCCACTTCAACACAGCAAACAGTAAAGTAACAGTTAATATTAAGTTAGTAGCTACTCAGAGACAGATCCTACCTTGTGAGAGTAGTGTGGGTCCATAATTCGGGCAAGTCCAAAGTCTCCAATCTTCAGTACCAAATCTTCTGTGTTCACAAACAAATTAGCAGGCTTGAGGTCACGATGCAGCACGTTGGCAGAGTGAATGTACTTAAGGCCCCTGAGTAGTTGGTACATGAAAAGCCTGGCATGGCCTTCAGACAAGAGGCCTCTCTCCAGCAACTGACACAGGTCAGTCTCCATGTATTCTTGTACAATATAAACAGAGTTGACCTCTGTTAGGGACACCACATCCTCTGTTAGCCTACGACCATTTGGACCCAATGTCTCAAACACCTGGTGACCAAAAACAAATGTCAGGTAGTAGAAAGCAGTCAACATAAAACATCAGCGTGTTGTTGTTTTCCCATGTGATAAACATACCTTGACAATGTTGTCATGATCAAGACGCCGAATGATCTTGATTTCCCGCAGTGCATGCTTCACACTCTGTGGGTCAGTCAAGATGATCTTCTTCACAGCTACACGTTTGTCGCAGTCAGTGTCTACTGCTGAGAACACCAGGCCATTTCCTCCATAACCCAGAGGTTTTAAGTCCATGTAGCGAGAACCCAGGTCAAAACCATGGATGTTCATAAGGGACTCAAATTTTTCTGCCATGACTGTTCAAGGTTTGTCACGTCAAGCTCCTGCTTTCTCTACTGTTTGGTCTCTGGCCTGTTTTAAGTACAACTTTTACACCTAGCAAGGAATTTATTGGACAACACCTACCCCCACAGCCTCAAAGGCTCAATGTACTGACCCTCCTATGGGCAACTACCAATCCCCCTGTCTAGCCTTCAGCGTCAAATGTGAGGCACAAATGTGTAGTGACACTTCTTTTTCATTTTTAATATAAGAAATGAAATTCGGGTAGAAATTAAACTTTAGGGTGTCTGAATAACTTAAGATGTATTTTCTTTTGGATTAGAGTAAACTAGCTGTAATGGAATGGCCTCTGGGGCTACTTAAAATGCACTGACAATATGGTGAACTATAAAATCATGTATTTGCATCCTTACAGTGCAGATACAATCAGTGTATGACTGGTCCTGAGCTGTGTCATATGAAATGTGCCAAGATGCACTTTTACTTCTTTTTCGTTTTTTTAAATTTTTTTTAAATTGATTGCTTTGTCTAATTTTCCTGATCTATAAACTTGAAATGTGTCTGGCCTTAAAGTCTTCAAATTTAATGTTTACCCTCAATGATCAGGTGGCTCAAGTTCGCCACAGTCACAGTCAAAACTATCCTCCATTTTATTTGGGTACAACCTGAAAGACCAGAGAAAGAACATATAAGGTAGGAATATGCATCATAGGTGTAACATTATATTAAAACAAAATATTGAAACTGCAGTTTGTTTAGTTTCTACGGTGCTTCACACCCAACTCATCTAATGATTTATGCAAACAATCAATTCTATTACTTTCAAGTACAAAAAAAAAAAAACCTTTCTGTCACAACTTGGGCAAAAGTTTTTTACATTGGCAGTACCAAATGCCAAATGGCCATGGCCTCCTGTGGCAGTGTGATATGGGTATTGCAATGGTATTGCAAAAAGATTGTAGACAGAAACACATCACAATCCACATTCTCTGTTCCACATTTCTAATAGTGTTCTAATGTTACTTTTAGCTACATTGCACACAAGTAAACAATGATAAAGATTAGCCACATTTAACCATTTTAAAACCAACACCATCCCAACATTTTAACACAGCATAATTAAATTATACTAAATTCATATAATAAGTCAAAATACCCTTTTGTTCTTTCTTGATAGTGGGAGTCATTTAGCAAGAACTTATAGTTTTAACATTATGGATGACATGTAGATACATGACATAGAAGAAAAGTGACATATCCTTTTTTATGTAGTTTTAGTACAGTTAAAGTGTCTGGTTCGTTTTATACCTAGTAGTTTTCAAAACACGCTGTCACCCATACAAGCCGAAGAAGCAAAATAACTTTTGTGCATTATGGAAAAAAGGACATGGACAGTGAATTACAGAGTGAAAATGCAGCAGCCATGTTGGACCTTTAAAAATACTTACGGCCACTAAAGGTCTAGTTGCGTTCCAACTATACAAGTAAAATTAATAATATTTAAAACTCAAAGGGCATTTATATTTTCCTTTTTTAACATCACTTCTAGTATTTGATTTCTAGCGCCATTTAGTCGTGTTAAATTTTAACATAAGAGGTTAATTATAATTAAATAGTTAATTATTTGTTACAGATGTTTGTTATTACTAATGTCAATCGAGTCATGTAGAAACAGCCAATCACAAAACCCCCGTACTTTTCAGGCTTTTGTTAAAATACGTGGTGGAAACTGATCCCTCCCCGGCCGGTTTCAGCGCTAGTTTGTCCGGTTTCTCCGTATCGACAAAACTGTATGTTTACCTAACTAGGTGTGTTAATGTGAACATCCAAATAGAATATGGAAATTCAAAACGATAACAGAAATATGAATTCCCCTCGTGGTCTTACGTCCACGTTAAACCGTCTAGTTTGGCCTTCACTGGCGGATAAAGCCAGGAAAGGAAGCGCGACAGTGAAGTGGCCACGCTAGCGACAGACATTTTAATATTCACATAAAATCCATAACACAATGTAACACAGATACAAACAACGGAGTCGTATTTACAAAGCTACAAGGGGCCGGAAAATGTTTTAGTAACCCCAGCCACAGTGTTCAAGAGAAAGGCGACGACGTATCGAACAAAGGAAAGGTTGTTGGCGAGGGTTTCTGACTACGTGGTAGAAGCTTTTCACAGAGCGGTGGCACAAAAGCCGACGGCCGTTAATCCGCCCATACCCCACAACTGACTAAACAACAACAACCCATAGAGTAAAACCGAAGGCAGCGAATGTCGACAAAAACAAAATGTGACTTACAGTCCTTATTCGTCGCATTGGTTTTCTTATAAAGCTAATCAAACCCAAACAAGGTTTGAGTGAGCTCTGCTCCCCGAGCTCTGCGGATCTTTCCAAACGCCATAGGGGCTGGGCTTGGCTACCACAGACGATGTGACGTCAAGAGATTGCGTTTACGAATGCTGGGAAATACCGACTCCAGAGCAAGAGACCTTCACAGACCATGTGAGAGCATGTGTATTATTGGCACGTTTTTAAAAATGATAAAAAAATGATATACAAACTAAAATGCTTTTCGACTAAATGAATAAACCCAGTCATCTCATCTTTAATTCACAGTAATCTTAAGGGATTCAAGCTGTGTGTTTAATATACTGCAGTGTTGAGATGCCACCCAGTGCATCACTTTGCGAATGATGGGACATATTTAGCTGTTAATATTAACAAGTAGGGGAAATAAGAACATTCAGATTATGTTAAATTCCTAGAAAATAGGTTTAGAAGGTTAGCAGATAGCCTTGATACATATATAGAAATATATGGATGAGGTGAAATATACTGTAGCATATTTGGAAAGTACTTTTGAAAAACCTTTTGCTGTGAATTTTGCCATAGTAAAAGGAAAAAAGAATGCATTAAAGATCTACTGTAGATCTTTGTACAATTATAACATTGGGCCAGGAACTCCATACAGCATTTGAAAGCATCAAGAGGCATTAAAAAAGACATGCTTAAAGCTGCAGATCATGTTTCGGTGGTGGAGTCAAAACCTGATCAGCCAGCTCATGAGTGATGACATAATAGCATAATTCAAATGATGGTAAAATAAGACTAATATGTATCTTTGTGTTTGACTGGAAATGTATGTACAAGGAAAACCCATACAGTCTACTGTAAGGATAAAACAATCATTATATTTATCTCAAATATGTGACAAAACATTACAAGCCATTAATCTGCGTAAAATATGAGCTTTCATTATATGATTAAAATTAATCTTTATGTATCAAGAACAGCTCTGAGCCCTCTCTTGTATTCAATGATAATTAACAGGTGAGGTATCTTGGATCACGATGTTTGCAGATAAAAATGTAATCTGCGTTGAAAGTAAGGAGCAGGTGAAAAAGAGGCTGGAAAGTTAATGTCAGCATTTGAGACCTGGGGGAAGAGGGTGCAGAATGGATGGAATGTATACGGATGAGTGAATGGATTTTTTTCCTTTTCCGTTAGCTTCTCTGTTAAACATTAAATGAATACATATACAAGCTATAACAATTCATAATCCCTTAATGTTTTATTTATTGATGCTGACACAAATTACATTACCTTGAAGAATCCAAACAAACAAGTTCCAGTCACTTAAAATTTCAGACCTAGAAATGCAGCATTGTCTTTCAATCTGGTATCTTTCATTTACCTTCTATCCATTCATTCAAAAGTCTACACACATGACTAGTTTCAGCGGTCGTTTACCCAGTGTATCCACGACTTCTTTTTCCTACCACTGCCTGACTTTGGTCATTGAAAAAAAAATCCCTCTATCAGGTCAAAGATGTGCGGCTCATGGATTTAAAAAGTCCATCTGGTGGATGCTTTTGCTGTAGCATTATTCCCTTTAAAGCAAAGCACAAAAACATTCCAAACAGGGGGCGCTCTTGTATATGTCTTCTTTCATAGCCCCATTCCTGACTGTGACACCCCTTTTTGTATGAATCCTGTGAATGGATAAAGAGACGGCTGGAGTGGAATAGAATGAGGTGTGGAGTGGCTCCAGCAGCAGAGGCAGCACTCAGCAGCCTCTGCAGTCTACATCACAATCCGCAGGCAGACCATGTGAGGGCCCATGTGCCAGAGAATGCAGATGTACCTAACAGGCGGGGATGGGCTTTGGGACGGAGAGCAGCAGCTACAGCATGCAGTTGTGAGAGTGATGCGACAGACTTGGACTACTCTAAAGCACAGTGGCCACTTCTGGTCATTTGACTTCCAACAGTCTGTGTGCTGCAGTTATGACTATTTATCAAATTATCGCCATTTGTCTGTTATCTTTTAATGTTTGTTGGTTAACCAATGACTGGATTGCAGTCAATGGCTTGGCTTCAAGTCCTGCCTAGAACAGACATACATAATACACTCGCTGTTTACTTCACATCTGTCCTAATGCCCCAATTGGCCAATCACATGGCAGCAACCCAGTGCATTTAGGCATGAAGCAAGGTCAACAAAACCTAAAAGAAGAGCAGAAAACTAAAACCTCTGATTGCTACGCTCAACAAATTTGACAAAAATAGTTAAGCAGGCAGAATAAAATTTAGTCTCAGACATTTCTATTTATATATTTGGTTTCTGTCTGTACTACTTGCAAACCTAAGTAATTATAAAACTAATGTGAAAGAACATGAAAAAACATCTAAGCTAAATCCAAATCACATATAACCATTTAAGAACCTTAAAGAATTTTCCGAAATGGCAGTTAAAAGATATAATAGGCACAATAAATGGTCCAAGATATGTGAGGAATGATCTGAGCATCTTAGCATGTAAAAGGCAACATGGTACTATTTAGCACAACACTTTTGTTGACAAGACTTTTGGGAATTATCATCATTATAAAAAAAGTTCAGTGACAACTCCAGCAACAACATTCTTTGTACCAGTGTACCAATGTCTTACTCTTTATCACTGTACATTATGAAATCCATGCTCAGATAGTGTGAGTTCTGGTACTGGGTCCACTGGAAAAACACATCTGACTGGTCAGAAACTCCAACGGACAGATTATGAATTCCTTTTCATTAGCTTTGTTCATTGCTAAGGTAATTATTTCCCACCTGTGTACGTCACCTGTCATAAACCTTGATAAAAACCTAATGATAACAGAGTAGGACTGTTGATGACACACTGACACCTGACTGTGCTCTGAGTGACCGTAACACACTCTTGTCATAAATCATACTTTTCATACAAGGACTTCTTATGACAGGAAAAACACAGGGTCCAATCAGGGGTCAGTATATAAGTATATTACTGCGATTCTACCCAAAATACATTCGAATTTAACAGCATTGTTTTGGTGTCACAACACTTCTGTTCTATGCTGTGTTCTGCTACTTATTTACCTATTTTCTTTTTGTTAAATTCTGTGTCCAAACTCCAAGCAAGTACAAGTAAGACCACAAATATATCTGTCACATCAGCATCATGTCACATTGATTTCTGCTCTGAAAATAAAATCTTCCCACTTACTGGGGCCGAAGAGGCTCTGAGACACCCGTGGAGACATGGTGCAGCAAGTTAAAGTCCAATCAGGAGAATTTTAATCTTTATCCAGCAGTGGTGATCAGCTGAGGCTGTAACGCAGTCCAGCGTCTCCCTGTCTTGGTCTGTGTGTGTGAGAGTGTATTCTCAGATCCTGGGCAGTGTGTTTTATCCTCCACCATGTGCCATTGGCTGCGAGGCAGAGCTCCATGGAGGGTTAATATATGCCCCGTCCACAGAGTGGGTGGAGCCTGCACTGTGTATGGCTGGGCCTGTCAGCGTGTCACACTCAGTACTAATACAGTTCACTGTCACTGCCTCTGTGTGTTGATCCTCCAGTCATGTATTGCACCATTGTTTTCTGAGCTACACCTCGATTATTTTCCTTCATGTTTCACTTCTGTGGAAGAGAGTTCACTCAGTGTCCTGGCTTTTATAATAATAGTTATATTAATATAATTATAATAACAATAATAGTTTGAAAAGTTGCATATCCAGTTCTTGGCATTTAAGTTTTTAGGTCTGTGTTTTCATTAAATAATTGAGTACACTCAGTGTCCTGTTAGAACAGAGTCAATTAAATAAAATTGAAAAAAGTTTGAGTTAACCAGGACAAACAATCAATTGTTTGCATTTTGATTCCCCCAACCCATTTCTGTCGTGGTAAAACTGTAAAATAAAATGCTTATACCTTTTATACATATCTTTTTTCATCTTTTTCATAGCTTAATATGTCTTAGTTGTGTTTCCTCTAATTAACTTCTTTGTTTTTTATGGCCTTTTTATGTAATGCTGCTAATGCTGCATGAAGATTAATTAAAACTCCAGAGATAATCCAGAGTTGATTCACATACTTACCAATAATTTGTGGTTAATGACTGCCCTACATTTATCATAGACTCCGGCTGCTCTGATTCCACTCTGTCTGTTAACTCCTCCGCTCACTCTGGTTGGTCGACCACAGGCATCTTGACAGACTGGCATGTTTTGGCTGTCAGAAAAAAAACGTTTGTGTGTGTGTGTGTGTGTGTGTGTGTGTATTTGTTTTACATTCAAACCAGCCTGCTGCAGGGTTCTGATGAGCCGTGTGTTAACAAAATATCCGAATAGAAATGGGAGGAAATACGGGCAAAGCTAAAGCGTGGGTGTCACACGCTCGGTCAGTAGTTTGGCGTTTCCTCTGATTTAGTAATCTTTCTGCCTCACAGACACATTAATGGTCTGTGATGCCAGCAGCATAAATGTGTGTGTGTTTGGACTGATGCTGTTAGTAACTACAACACACCACTGTAGTCCTCCCATTATTAGTCACGGACAGGTAAAAAGTGGGCTAAAAAATGTAGGCCTAATCTTTTTGGCTTTTTCTGACAATGTAACACACAATTTGCCCCGTTTTCTGTAAAGCTACATGGGCTAACTGAAGATAACGGTCGTTTCTGGACAAAATAATCAGAGATACAGAGGTGATTTTAAAACAGGGGTTCCCAACTCCTGGTTTGTGGACCAGTATCAGCCCATAGGTCATTTGGTAGCGGGCCTGCAGTGGGACACAGTGAAGAAATGTACTTCAGTTTTACTGATTTACGTCATTCAAAAATAATCCAGTAAAAGCCATTACCCTTTTCATTAAAATATACAGTAATCTGACAATGTTTCAAAACAACATATCATACATATCATACTTACATACTTACAGAATAATCCTAATCCCAATTCTAATCCTAAAAATAATAATACTATTATTGAATTCTAATCCTAAAAATAATAATACTACTATTGCTACTACTATTACTACTACTACTACTAATAATAATAATGGTGAATTTTGCATGGTATGTAGAAATATATTTCTGTTCTTATGTGTGGCATGTAGTGACCCATTGTCATATCCTTCATCACATGGGGCCTAGAATTCCTGGGTAGGCCACGTGTCAGTCAAGTTCGAACTTAACATGACCCAGTTCTGATGTTATTTGGGGCAGTCCACTTTGTTTGAACCACAAATAGTCAGGTACCAGTGTGTGTGATACAAATGTTTTTTGTTTTTTTCTCACGTCTTCCAACGATTTATTGCTGTGTTTTGGCCAAATACTTTGTGTTACCATAACCTGTCCACGTTACAGTCAGTCTGTTGTGTAAATAATGCTGAGAAAATGTGCATAAATCAGTGACCAGATCAAAACTCTTCTAGCAGTTTAGAAGTCAAATAATAAAAACAGAGTTCATTAATGACTCCCTAGTGTGGATTATTCACTAACATTGGTTGATGCTTTTCTGGAGTGTACATTTTTTCAAACAAACTACCGATTTTCACCCTGTGCTTGTCTATTTATTTTTGGGCATAGCCGAAGTATTGACCTGGTTCAAATTGTTGTGGGACCTTTACTAGAAACCTCTGAGTCAGTTGTGGACCTCCGCTGGTGAATCTCTGTCTTTTCATGACTATCACTGGTTGCTTCAGTTGGTAAATTGAGGGGCTGTTGCATAACATGAGCTGCAGAATCACTGTGGGCCGTTCAGCATAAGGAATGAGGGAAACACTGCACTGTGATGTGTCCCTATACGGTGTCTGCTGTTATGTAACAGTGCCGACCCCACAGACAGTGAGGTGCAGTGTGCAAAAAGACCGGACACACCCTGTTCATGTACACTAACGTGTAGTACAGGAATTTCACAGTGCAGTGAAGGAACCTGCACTGACACCTCAGCGGTGATCAGGTCTCTGGTGCAGAGGACAGTTGTGTTTATGTAACAACTGGGCTGGAAGATACGGCAGAAACGTCAGGTCCTGGGAACGAAAGATAACACAATCTGTCAGTTGAAATAAATCATATTTAGAAGATATTATGAATAAATTGAGTTTTTCTTTCCAGAGAATTTTAAGTTATATATTCAATAATACAAAAATGATTCCCTCAGTTGTCTTTAATGGCTCTAATGGTACAGGTGTACGTTGATTTCTGTAGTAAGCTGCTCCTCATTAATAAAAACACCGGCATTTTCCCTTTTCCTTTTTTTTTAAGTGAAATGAGGGAAGTAGCACAACCGAAACAATGCCAGTGTTATTGGAATACAAAGCAGCAAAATCAAGTTTGTGAGATGGTGCTGTAGATCACAGAACAATACACACTATCCTGAGTAATATACCCAAAAAGAGAGATAGGTTTTCTGTCAAGTTTTTTTTTTTTTTGGAGCAGTCGCTCATTGACTGAGTGCAGTTTTTCAGAAATGTTTTATTTTTGCTTCTTATGAAATTTAAATATTGCGCTACAAAACATTTTGTTAATTGATTCTGGAGTTGATTGACCACAAACGTCAATATCTGAAAGTCACTGTTACAATTGGAAATTGATACATCTCTAATAAATGTTGGTATGTGCGTCTGCTGTGATCCTGCTGCTGGACCTTCTTCCTCTAATTAAGGCCATGATTTGTTAAATTAAAAAAATGCAAACTATGTCCTAACCTTTAGAAAAGCAGTTAATATCCTCATCATGTGATCAGTGAAACGTAACAGAAGTGGATGTTACATTTGACTGCTCCGTGTTCCAGTATGAGTCTGTGTTCCTCCTCAGCACAGAGAACACCGCTGCACCACCAGCGGTGGCACTGCTGCTCAGCTGTGTGTGGAGCAGATGGAGTCTAAGTCAACTGAAAGTGTGTGTGCGTGCGTGTGTGTGTGAAGTAACTGGGTTACACACAATATATTCATAAAATAATGGATTTTGATCCTGTTTCAAGTATTATGTATTATAAAACATTAAAAAAATCATTGATATAAAATAATGGATTTTGATCCTGTTTCCAGTATTATGTATTATAAAACATTACAAAAATCATTGATTGACTAACGATGACTAACACGATTCTACATTTTCTTTTTTTCAAATCAGTTATACCACAAAGATTCTACGAACTCCAGCTTTGAATGCAACAATTCGATTCAAGGTTAAAGTTTGGAAAATGTGTCCACAGTTTCGTGGAAACATTTCCTCATGATAATAAACCAATAATGGTTATAAAACAAGGTCAAAGTCAGAATCTGCCTGTGTTGTCACTCCTCTCCCACCATATCCCCAAAATATATTGCATTTGATGTCGTATATATTTAATCTTTATGTCTTACATGTTCAAGCTCAGTGTTCTTTATTCTACATTTCTTCTGTCTAGAATCATTTTGACCCCCCGACCCCCTGACCTTTGACATCATTAAGACTGTTTGCCCAGATCAGTTGTCCTTGAGGACAGTCTTTCTTTTATAATAATTACGTTCAAAGAATCAACATTTCTGTTTTTGGACTAACGGAGGAAATTTGATTACCTGGAGAGAACCCAGGGACACACAGAGGACATTCAATTCACTTGGACTTGTTCCCAGGGTAAGGAAACATGCAAACTCTGTACAGGAAGATCAGCAGTTCCCCCAAGATTTCACTGCTCAACTTCAGATGAGAAAATTATTGCAAGTCCCCGTGTTAATTTATTCAAATCTCATTCTTAAAACCTCCCTTACCTTTATGAACATTAATGAACCAAAGAAAAAGTTTCCTTTCCTTGACCTGCCCATTGAGGGGCCAGCACCCCACTTTGGGAACCACTGCTGTAAGGCAAGTGCCCTAATCAGTTTTTAACCACGTAGCCTGTCATGTAGCAAATGTTCAATATGACCTCTGCTCCTCCATCCACCCACTCCTTCCAAGGTCTTATTTGTCATAATATTTGTGTTTCAAATAAGATCAAGCAAACTCCCTGTCTTCGTTGTCAGCGCTGCTCTGTCTGAGCACATCTCATAACTCGGTGTCTCCGTCTGATAGGGTTAGACTTGTTGATTTAATTCTGTCAGCAGGACTATCAGCATCTGTGTTCCTAACACAAATCGAGGTCAAGGTACGGTTTTCACCTCACGACCTCAAACTTGATTCTCTGGAATTACAGAACAACAGCTTTTCTAAACTAAACGACAGTTCTCGCACACTGTTTTGCTGTTTTTCTTTTCTTTCTGACCAACAGCTTTAGCAACAGCTGTCTTATGTAGTACGGTGTATACCACATAAACTCAGGCCCGGGGGCCAAATCTGTCCCGCAGTGTAATTATATTTGGGCCACGAGATCATATCAAATGTGTACTGGAGTTGGATTTGTAGTATTAGCAGTATTGGTGCTATGTTATAGCACATACATTTTGGTTTTTTTTTG